TTGGGAAGACTCTGGGTCTGACACAAAACGATTTTATCCTGTTCTCTTTCTAACTGAATAACTCAAAGGATTTTTCGGTGATTTTTATGACAAATCTTTCTTATCGGAAAACCTAGAAAAAGTGACTCAATTAGTTTAGTGTTTTTTTTTTAGAGATTAAACATTTTTTGCGGTGGACAATTATGCTGTTATACCCGGTATATATACATACATACATACATACATACATATATATATATATATATATATATATATATATATATATATATATATATACGTACAAACATACATATGGACGGTTGATTAAATACCAACGAAAGTTCCGTGTTGATTAATTTTTATTTTTTATTCTATGTGCCGCATTCCTTCAGGACATTGGCGATTACGACTCTCCAAATCTTCCTATCTGCTGTGGACCTTAGCAGTGTTTCTCCCTTCGCTAAGGCTCTCATTATACATTCGCAAAAGCCCTCCCTTCATTATGCACTATCGGGTTTAAGTTTTCCAAGTCTTTATTTCTCATTATGTGTCCAAGAAATTTCAGTTGATTCCGCTCTGATTCTAAACATGTGTTCTTTCTGTTGCCATTTTCTTTGATACTTCTTCATTGCTTACTCTCCCGTTCCTCACGTAGGACCAAATTTCTCTTTCCTTGAGTTTTCTCATCATCCGTGGGGAGATTGTCCAGCATTCATTGACTTATGCGAGGATGGATATCACGTAGCAACCCAAACACTCTTTTCTTTGTTTCTAACGATTTTTCTGTTTCTCAGTACCTTGCTTAACTTTTGGAATGCATCTTGCGTTAAGCCAATGCGTGTTCGTATTTCAATATCGTCTTTTCTGTTCTCTGTTGAAACATTTCTAGATATACAAAACTTTTGTTTAATTAAGTTTGGCATGTCCACTGTGTAACTCGCATGTTGGGCTCTTCTTTTTCTTGACAACCATATATTCTGTCTCCTTACAATCCATGTTCCTGTACTACCATTTGTTGAGGTCTTCTGCAGCTTACTTTCCTTATCTGCTATCATCAGTAAGTATTTCTCTTTTATATATTAGGTTGGTGCAAAAATAACGTTTTCTCACATATGTTTGAACGTCAAAAAACGACATTATTTTTGCACCAACCTAATAGTAATGTCTCAGAAATGTGTTCTAATGTACAGAGAGCCCAGAAAAAAAAAATCAGCAAATTTATTATCACTGTTTTATCTTTCAGGAATAATTGACATTGAATAACCCTGAATAAATTCAATAACATTGAATATTCATGACCTTGAATAATTAGTCGACTCTCACGTAATTACTTAACTCTGATTGATTCTTTTATGTTTGATTAATTGCTGTTTGATCTTGAGACTCTTCATTTAAAGGTTATTTGCAAACAACTTTCATCTTTCGTTCTGCCCTTCTCGTATGGCTAAACAACTCATTGATTTTGAGTGTCAAGTTATCGTATTTTTCAAAGAACATCCGTGGTGGGAATTGACGAAATGTACAGAAATTCTTCCTGAATTTTTCAGTCACATCAATCGTCACCAGTTTTCAACGGTTGTCTCACGTCTTTATGAATTTACCCGTCTTTTACTGGGTACCCTGTAGTTTATTTTTGGGATCTATTGAATGATACTAACCAGTCTTTTGCCCAATGAGCAGTGAGATTTACGTCACTGATATTTCTGTCTTAAATTATATTTTCCTCGCGGGCTATTTTTCAGCTTGTCGGTAAATTGGTTAATAATTTTTTTTAATAGCATTTTGCTTATAATAAAATAAAAAAATGATATCTGTAAATTTCTTGACGTGGTTAAGGTAGCTGTGTACTAATTATTTGCTCTGTAATAATAAATACATTGAGTTCTTTTTTGGATCAGTCTTAACATTGTTATATTACTAGGATCCGCTTGGATTATATACCAACGGATTGTTACCTTTACTATATATATATATATATATATATATATATATATATATATATATATATATATATATATAGAGAGAGAGAGAGAGAGAGAGAGAGAGAGAAAGTTGCAAATTAAAAAATAATAATGTTTTTTATGAAAGTATTTATTTATTTATATATTTGATATTTCAGATTGACCTCAATCGTTCTTCAGAAATAACTGTTTGTTTACAAGTAGCGGACGTCACGTGATATGGAACTCCACTGTGTTCGAATATTCTTAACGTAAATCTAACTGTAATAATATTTTAGATGTTGTTTAAAAAAATTTAAAAAAATTAAACTACATCTAAAAAAATGTTTAACTATTGAAATAATTATAAAGATTTAAAATACCCAAGTCTTTATTCAACACTAGTTTATATGTATTTAATTTTAAAATCCAGTATTTTTCTTTTTTTCCATTTTATATATATATATATATTTTTTTTTTCTGAGATGAGGTATTGTAATTATTTACATTATTTACATTGTTCTGACTGTTGTCCTCATCTTTATTGCCATATTCACGACATTTCGACCGATGTTCGCACCGGCCTTCTTCAGGTGATTGGAATTTTGAGCCATGAAACATCGAGCAAAAGTCATAAGTGGCCACCCAGAGATGTATGATCAAGAAATGGTCAATATAAACAATACTTTACAATGTAATACCTACCCTGGGTACATGGCAGCAGCTCCAACAAACCGGGGTCGAATGGTACAAGAGGATAACAACACTCAGAAAACAGCTTCGGTCTGTTTACCCTATGTGAAGGGATTATCGGAGAAAATACAAAAGATCTGTTGTCCATATAACATCACGACGACCTTCGAATGTGGTTCGAAACTTTGTAGACACCTCTTCCGAATAAGACCCCCTCATAGAGGAGAACGTGACTAAGGACTTTGTGCACGCCGTCCCGTGCAGCTGTGGTAACAAAATATAAAGGAGAAAAGGGCCGCCTCCTCAAGGTAAGACTTCATAAACATTGTAAAGCCGTAACACGAGGGGAAATTTAAAAATCAGGAAGAGCTGACCGCATATGGAGGGAGAGCATCGCCCTCTATGGGATGATAGGTTGAAATAATAGACACAAAACATCACTGGAAAATATGAAAACTTAAGGAATCAGCACATATGCTAGGCCACAAAAACCTCTTAAGCCGGGCAAGCATAAAAAGAAAGCCGGAGCGTACAACGGCCGTAACATTGTGAAACAGTCCGAACAATGTAAATATTTCTTCTTGAATTTTTCAGTTACATCAGTCGTCACCAGTTTTCAGCGGTTATCTCACGTCTTTCTGAAATTATCACTTTTTTTTTACTTGGTGTGGAAGAATAAGGAAAAAGAAAATTTCTAAGGAGTAAGAACAAAAGAAGGGCATTGACATTGCACTGAAATTTTTGCAGATTAAAATTGTCTGGAAAGCATGGAGCCGAAAGGGAGTTCCACAAGTGAGAAATGCGAGAAAAGAAACTGTTAGTATAGAACTTACGGTTACGTTAGCCAACTCAGCTTTAAATTAATGAGATCTCGTCACCAGTTTAGTAATGCACTTACATTCGAATCGTCTAGGGACCATAGCAAATAGCTCATCAGAACATTTACCATGCAAGTATTCATAGAAAAAGAAAGGGAGGTAACCTTACGTCGGGAGGGAAGTGATTGAAGTCGAGTCGCCAGATCAGGACTGATAATATTGCTGATTCTTTGTATTTTATCAAGGAGCTTTAGATATATAACAGACGCACCGGACGATATATGGCAGCAATATTCTAAACATATTTTTTAATTTTTTTTATAACATTTTTGCTAATTATTTTTTTCATGCGCGGCCATAAATTAGCACATGAAATTTTAGTTTCTTTTGCGGTGAAAAATACTTCGAGTTGGATATTTTTGCAAAAATCAAATAATTGTCAGATTTTAATTAAACTTTCAGGTTTAAGAATGCGTATTTACTTTTCTGTTTGGCTAAAACAAAAAAAGATAAAAAAAAAGATTTAAGCCTGAAAGAAGACCCAATGGAATCGTTTGGAAAAAAAAAAGACCTTGATATCAAATATAATCGCCTGGATTACTTTTGTCAGATTTAGGTGGGAGCTGCACAGTCCTTACTTTACAGTCTTGATAGAACTCAAAAGTGTCTCCAAGTCGATGTAGGTGACTGATGTAATGAATATGCATACAGGTTGGGCAGCTCCCGCCAAAATCTGACAAGAGTCCGCCATTTTTGGCCTGATCCGAATATCAACGGGTGAAACGTCGTGAATATCGCAATAAAGACGAAGACAACAACCCGAACGATGTAAATCGTTACGATACCTCATCTCAGAAGTATAGACAGATGTCTAATTGTAAAATCTGCGATGTCCACGGGGTATGAATGTCTGCGTTATGGAAACTCTTTAGCGGAAAAGGAATTTTTTTTCTGTAATGCCAAGAGCAGAAAACAATGCTATTTACCAGAAGCCGAACTTAGTTTTGTAAAATCAAGTAGTCCAAATGTCTACAAGGAACGACTTTCCCCGATTTGTCAGGGTGCGAAATCGATGGTAATGGTGATCGTCTAAACTGGCCTGATCATAAAGTAGGCATAAGAAGAACTGAAGAGAAGAAAAATAACATTTGAGATTCTTGATACAAGGAGGCGATTATATTTGATATCAAGGTCTTTTTTTTCGAATGATTCCATTCGATCTTCTTTCAGGCTTAAATTTTTTTTTTTTTTTTTTTTTTTTTTTCAGCCAAACAGAAAAGTAAATACGCATACAAACTTATGTCTATGTAGGGCGAAGTGCATCTGAGATACGTGTGTCCATTTTATTTAACTATTTATTTTTCCTTTTTCACATTAATTTTGATTCTTTCTTTTTTTTAGTTTGTATTGGTTTCGACTGTTTCCACCCATCCCGTTCTTTTTCCTCCTACTTCTTCCTTCTGTCCACCTCTTACTACTTCCCTTCACTCCGCTTCCTTATTGGCTACTACACTTAGCGTTTCTTTTCGGCTATGCCTTTTCTGGCATTCACTCTTCGCCCTTTGTGCTTTTATGTCCATGCAAATAAACATAATGGCGGATTAAGTAGAGCAAGAAGGATAATCCGTTTGTAATGTAAAAAGCAAAGCTGGGTAAATTGAGAGAAAATACGCCAGAAAATTAATGAAAGAAATAAAACGGCATAAAGAAAAATCCGAGGAAAAGTCTTGCTGCGAAAAGGAGAAGAAAAGAAAAAAAAGTACGGAATGTAATGACAGAATGATAGATAAGAAAAATTAAGATAATAATTTAGCGAGAGATTGGTGAAGCAGAAGAAAATAAAGAAGGAATAAAAAGAAAGAAAGAAAGAAAGAAAGACGAGGAAAAAGAAAGAAAGAAAAAGAAAGGAAGAAAGCAAGAAAGAGGAGAAAGACAGGCACAAAGAAAAAGAAGAGGACGGGGCAAGGAAAAAAGAGGGAAAAAGAAAAACGAGGAAAAAGAAAGGCAGATAAAAATGAAGAGGACAGGGTAAGGAAAAAAGAAGAAAGAAAGAAAGAAAGAAAAGAAAAAAGAAAGGCAGATATAAAAGAAGAGGAAGAATGAAGAAAGAAAGGAAGAAAGAAAGAAGAGGAAAAAATAGAAAGAAAAAGAAAGACAGAAGAGGAAGAAAAAAGAAGAAAGAAAAAAGAAGGTGAAAAAGAAAGGCTGAAAGAAACAGAAGAGGAAGGAGATAGGAATAAAGAAATAGAAGAAAGAAAGAATGAAAAAAGGAAAAAGAAAAGCAGAAAGAAAAAGAAGAGAATGAATAAAGAAAGAAAGAAAAAAGAAGAAAAGAAAAAAGAAAAAGAAGAAAGAAAGAGGAAGAAAAAAGGAGAAAGGGAGAAAGAAAAAGAATAGGAAGAATAATGAAAGAAAAAGAAAGAAAAAGAAAGAAGAGGAAAAAGAAAGACAGAAAGAAAAAAAAGAAGAGGAAAAAACGAAAGAAAGAAAAAAAGAAGAAAGAGTTAATAAAAAGGTGTTGTAAGGAACTGTATTAAGTAACGAGGGAAAGATAAACAAAGGAAATTGTGTTTAACGATAGAGTAGAAAATAAATGAAAAAGTCAAATTAAAAGATAATAAAAGCAAGGGCAAGGGAAAAAGAGAGAACGGGGAGAAAGAGTTAGGGTAGAAAGGGAGAGGTGCAGGAGAACTTGAGAGCGGGACAAAGAGGGAAGTAAAAGCATAAAAGGGGAGTGACGTGTGGTAGAAGAAGATAGAAGGAAGACAAAGTAGGTTAGAGGGAGAGCGGATAAAGAGAGAGAGAGAGATACACTGAGAGTACAGAAGAGTAAGATATGATTGAGGAGAGAGAGAGGGCGAAATGAGAAGGGAGAGAGAGAGAGAGAGTATTAAAAAAGTGATGTCAGTCAGAGGGAAGTGAGAGAGGCGAGAAAGAGAAGCGAAAGAGAAATAAGTGTGAAAAGAAAGGAAAGAGAAAAGGGAATTGTAAAAGAGAATGTGTTAGAGGAAGGAATGGAAGCTGGCTGGAACAATGAGAAGAAAATCGTGTAAAATGGTTGTATGGAAAACGTGAGAACAAGAATGGAGAAAGAAAGGTGGAACGAAACGAAGTTTCATTCGAGAAAACGAAAAGAAAATGAAGGAAAGAAAAGGAGACAAAGGAAGAAAGTCTGAGACAAAAAGAGAAAAAAGAACTACCAAAAGAAAGCAAAGAAAAAAAAAAAAGAAATAAACGAAAGGTAACCTTAAAAATAAGAACCCCCCCCCAAAAAAAAGGAGTAAAACAAGTCAAATAAAAAAAAAAAAGAATGGAGGAAAACAAGCTAGGCTAAGAGTCAATGAACCAATATCCGGTTTTATTGTCTCTCACTTCCGGCCAGTTTCTTCAGTCAATAAAACAGTGTTCTTATATATATATATATATAGTTTATTTTATAGAATAAATGTCCAAATATTGGTTTTAGTTATTCTCCCTCCAGCACACAACCTTCATTCATGGCCACGGCCAACACTCTCAGTCACAATTGGCAAACCACGATACCTTGTCTCGTTTGCGCTTTTTCCTTCGATCTATAGACCTTCTTCCCTACCCTGACACAAGACTTAAAAACTATCTTGTGTGCCCAAATAACACGCGCCATCGCCATCCGGGCATTTGCCTTTCCGCAAGAAACGTCTTCATTTTCCTGCGGTTGTCCCATTATACTGTCCATCACATTAGCATCTCTCTATATCCAGCGGCCACACCCGGTCAGCCATACATGTATCTGTTGACCTTTTTGAATTAGGCTTTTACTGAAACAGACGCAGTTTTTTTTTTTTGTACCGCATTTTTTTTATTTATTTCATTGGAAATAAATGAGTTAATAAAAACGATAGTTGTTATCCAAACGATTTAGGATTTTCGTGTCCACTAGTTTCATCATTAATTCATTTTATTATCCCAGTGCGCATGCGCACATGTGTGTTTATACTAGGGTTGGCGGTGGCTGGCGCTGAGCTATGGTTAGCAATTGCCACTCACAGGACCAGTTCGCAAGTCGAGTGACTTCGAACCTGAGGGAGGAGGTGTTCAACAACCTATAGCAAAACTAAGCTAGTTGTGTTAAATATCTATATATCTCTATCTGTGAAGCTGTTGGGACTAGCGAGCTCCAGTCGATACCAATTACACCTTTAAAAAAGCAGTATTTGAAAAGCATGACAACAACATATTTTTATATAAGGACTCCATTTTCGGCCTCACCATTATTTTTCAATGAAGAAGATTTTTGATTTTGCATGATTATATATATATATATATATATATATATTATAAATTAATTGATTTAAAATATGTTTTTTTTCGCTACACAGTTCTAACCATGTTTCAAAAATGGAAGCTAAAAGCTCCGAATTTAATTTTGTAATTAAATTAAAGACATTAATTCCATTTCATCCTCAAACGAATTTTTCTTTTTATTTATATATACATATATATGTACATCATTTTCTTTATATATATATATATATATATATATATATATATATATATGTATATGAAATAATAATAAAATAAACGAAAGAATATTAATCTACAACCCAGTGTGTCTGAAGATTTTAATCTCTTAATATTTTTTTGTTCAATATATATATATATATATATATATATATATATATATATATTTTTATATATATATATATATATATATATATATATATATATATATATATATATATGTGTGTGTGTGTGTGTATATATATATTTCGAGTTTCAGTTTAGTCAAAAGACCTAATATATAATAAATACCATCAGTCTTATTGACAATAAAGACTATATTGAATCCATTGCTAGGTCAGTTGCTAAGAAAGTGGGTTCACTGTGTCGTGCGAGAAAATTTTTCTCTCGAGAATCTATTTTAAACATCTATGAGTCTAACCTTCGTCCATTCTGATAATATTACTGCCACATATGGTCCGGGTCCTTGCTAATTACCTTGAGCTCCTTGATAAAATTTAAATAAGAATCAGCAATATTATCGGTCCTGATCTGGCGACTCAGCTTCAGCCAGTCACTCCCCCACCGCTGGAGTGTTGTTTGTTAATGACTTTTCTGTAAATACCCAGCAGAAATCTGCTTAGATGCCGTCTTGCTCGATGGTGACATGCGATGGCCCAGAAGATGAAAAACAACACAAAGTGATGGCGACAAGAATACTATGTTTCTGAGAGGGCTGGGGCAGAGAATGACAGGACGATGAAACAAAACGATATATATATATATATATATATATATATATATATATATATATATTTTTCAGATAGAGGGTATCTGCAAAGGAACAAAATAAATAAAAAGAAAAGGGTAAAACTATTCTTAGCCGACGCTTTTCCTCCTCCGAAGGACTTTATCACGGCAAATATTCCATTTATTCATTCATATATATATATATATATATATATATATATATATATATATATATATATATATATATATATATATATACATATATATTTGAAGTACCAGTGTCTATCGGGCATGCGCATGTGTAGTCACAACAACCTCAACAAATCCAGTTCACTGAAGAAGATCGGAGGGATGAAACGCGTCAAAAAACTTTTTCCAGTTTGTCATGCGTCTTTTCTCTCAAAACTCTTCTTGATATATAAAAAATTACATTCCTCTATCATATATATATATATATCATTATACGTATATATATATTTTCTTACTCTGTCCAGGACATTGAGTTCTACCTGAATTCTATCCTCTTTGAAATTTGCATATATATATATATATATATATATATTGACCACTAATATTATATATATATATATATATATATATATTGACCACTAATATTATATATATATATATATATATATATATATATATATATATATATATATATTATAATATATATATATATATATATATATATATATATATATATATATATATATATATATATATTAGTACTTCCCAAGATTTGCTAAAAAATGAGCATACATAATGAAAAAATGCCCCAAGCCTAATAAAAACAACGCATTATCATCAACATTTTTATGTTATTATTAGGAGGAAAGACCAAAGAATCTTTTGACTATTAATTTTAATTCATTTTAGAACCTTCGAAATTTTTGTTAAAAGTCTGTTTTTTGTTGCGTTAACGGGTGACCAAAAATTTGTATGGCAATTTTGAATCTATTTTAGCGGTGAAAACACCGAATTTGAAATTCTTGCAAAAATAAGATAATTGTCGGATTTTAATGGAACTTTCAGAGCTTATTCACAAATGAATTAAATTATTTTAGAAATGTTTTCTTAGAAAATCTTGGTAAACATATTTTTTGCATCTATTACCCCAACATTTATTTTTATAAAATTTCGAGAAATTCATTTTTGTAGAGCTCAAGGACTACTCGTTGTATTACTTAAATCAACAAATTATTTTTGTCAATGATTTACAGTTATAGAAAATCCGCTCTGAATCGCAAAATCAAAAAATTCAATAAAACTAAGACATTAATTAGAAAAACTTTTAATTGCTTGATTGAGATATGTAATAGATACTATTCTTTTTTTCGATAAATAATGAATTTTTACAAGAATTGTTTTCATTTAAAAAGAAAAAAGAAAAATAATATCTTTAAATCTTTTAAAATTCTGTATTAATTCATAACCGTTAAGTGATATTCTTATTAAGTAAAAACTATATTTACTAATTACAAATGGAAAAGCTTGCAACAAATTAGCGATTTACAGTATTTTAAAAAAGAATTTTGAATTATTTGTGTGTGCATAAACATGCCGATTTTTGTAAATCCGGACGTCCCTATACAAGATTATCAGAAAATAAAAGTGGTAACTATAGTAAACTAAAATTTTATCGGTAATTTTTTAAAATTTCCTCAATAGGCGTCTTCTTATGTAAGACTATAAAGCCAAAGTACCTAAAATTCAATAAAATATTTCCTTAGATTATTTTGCTAAATTTTTAAGATTCTTGGGTAGTTAAAATATTATGTATATATGGAATTAATGTTGTATTTATCAAGTAATTTTTACAGTTATCGTCCCTTTATTTAAAAATTCCAAATATTAAGCAATCGATAAATATACAAACACCTCATAAAAACACTGCTTTCTGAGTTATTTTAAACTAGAAGTAATATTTGTTTTAATTCAGATTAATAAAACATTAATTCAGTTAATAGTCCTCAAATAATGTTTCAGAAGAGTATATTTTATTTTTGAAAGATTTTTTAATGAAGGGAATTATGTTGCGTTGAAAGATTTGTCAATTTAACCGATTTAAAAAAAGAATTCCAATCAATGTAAATTCGATTTGAAATATAGCAAAGTATTAAGCTTAATCTATTTGCTTGGAATTAAAAGTAAAATAGAAGCGTCAAGAGAGGTTTTTTATTTGTAAGATGCATTACGTATAAGTTTTTTTGAAAATACGCAATATGTTTAAAAAACTGGAAGTCAAAATGGCTACAATTGAAAGAAAAGAGGAAAAGATAAAAAGAGAGAAAAAGTTAAGGAGTGAGTGTAAAGTAAAACGATGAAAAGGACAAATAACCACGACATTCTACATGTACGCACATACGCGCAGACGGGGCCATGGGAGCACACGTGCGAATGCACACACGTACGTACACACACGCACATATACACTATAAAAAAACTTGTACCAATGAAAAATATAAAACATGCATCTATACGTTTTCAGGAAAATAATAAACATAAACTAAAAATTCTTGAAGCTATTTATATTAAAAAATTGAAATTAACCCTTAATAAAATTAATTATGAATACTGCACAAATGTTTTAAAATGTTTACAGTGGATAACTTGAAATATTTAGGTTTTTACTAATAGTCTTAAATGTATTTCCTTTTTTTTTATAGGCATTTAGACATTTCAATAACTTTCCTCCTTGACGTTTGCACGTGTGTCTACATGAAAAAAATTAAAAATTGTCCAGTACATAACCTAAGTATATTTTCAATTCAAGCATAAAAATTTAATTTTTAGATGAACACAACAATTTTGTCTATGAAAACGATGACTACAACAATTTTTTGTCTTAGAAAAAAAAAGTAAAAAAAAGACCATGATGACGACATTTTACTAATGTCGAAAGTACTCAGAATAAAATGAATATGCATCAACATAGTAATTTTCTTTCTTCCTTTAATAAAGATACTAAGAAACTTGTCCGTAATTACGAGAGGATCCTACTAAAAATAAGTAGACAAAAACTTATCTAAATTATTTAATGAGACATGACATATATATATATATATATATATATATATATATATATATATATATATATATAAGACATTTTTATGTTTATACATTCTTTTTATAGATACAAATATTTAAGTAAATGCTCTGTTTATAATAAACAGTAGTAAACAACATTTACCGGCCTGAATGTCCGAGAAATTTTCACAGAAAATATTCGTCCTCCGACAGGATTCGAACCTATACGGAACCGTCATCTAGCTTGACGTGCCTTTACCGATTTGACCACAGAGGAGCGTTCCGTTAACAAGGTCGGATTTACTGTATTTAAACTTCAATCTTCCATGAATCTCTCACGTACATTCATATCTGCTCATGGAAAAAAAGAATGTATAAACATAAGAATATCTTAAAATAATTGTCGGACTTTGTCCATTTCATATATATATATATATGTAATAAGTAAAGACAGTC